AGGGGGGGGGGGGGGGGGCATGACGCAGCACAGCCGGCGAAGAGAGACCTCTTCACAGACATCCAGAAGGCGCACGACCCTGTACCGTGTTTGTTATGACCCCCACCCCAATGAACACACCAGTGAGGGAGGGCGAGACGATCGAGGGGTCCCGTACCACGCGGAATCGACCCTATCCAGTGCTCAAATCCAGAAGGCGCACGACCCGGGCCGCACACGAGAGGAGCACAGTGACAGCCACAGGCACGCAACCACGGCGTCCCTTCACACAAAAACACAACCACGGACCCAAGACGCACAAGCTCAGACAGTCGAGACAGGGATCGACCGCAACGACAGTCAGAAAATGTAAATGTGACGTCGCTCGCCGCGAGTGTAGGCGGCGGTGCTCCTCGGAAGGCGAAACCGGCACCGTGTAGGTGCGGCGCGTTACGACGCGGCGCTGAGGGCGTTGCGCGCGCTGCGGCTGCCGGCGCGCTCGAAGGTGGCGGCGCCCGCGCGCTGGTACGCGCAGGAGCTGGCCGCGTTGCGCAGGCAGGAGGGGCGACACGAGTTGTGTGCAGCGGGGGGTGATAGGGATTGTCGGGGTGTGCGCGGAAGCTGCGCCACGGACAGCGAGAGGGGGTGGAGGGCCCTGCTCCCCCGCTTCTTGCTCCACCCCTTAGTTACGATGGGTGCGTCCCTCCTCAGCTTGGGGCCACATCGATCCTGCTGAATACTACTCATTTACGTCTGTTTTCGCACTCGTCCACTGGCGGTCGGCGTCGTTTTTGACCGACGCTGTCTCGAGTGACGAGTCTCGCCGTCGCGGCGGCCGGAGAGAGAGTGGCCTCAGTCGTTGCAAAGTGCTCAAGCGCGTCCCATGTGCACCGCGTCTCGGCCGGCGCCCGGCGGGGTGCGATTATCGTGTGACGCCAAAAAAGAAACTCTTCGAAATCGAATCGCACCTCCCAAGATAGCCGTACAAATCTAGACAACAACAAAATCGACAACAACAAAATCTCTCTCAAATCTAGACGCCTAGACCGGACGCGGAACCATCCACATCATCACTGGCTCGCGGCAGTAAGGGCACTCTCGCATCAGCTCAGAGCATGGCCCACAAGCACACAGGTGCCCGCACGGAACCGCAGCATGCGACTTGACTCTCGCGAAACACACGATACACGTGGTCTCTCCCCCCATCGTGGATTCGGGGGCAGGCAGCCGGCCGCCCCGTGTCGAGGCCGGCGTCCGCTAGCGAGACGGCAGCAAGCGACTCGGTGACTGGCAGATGCTGCTCCGCCGCCTCTCCCGCCTCGATAAGCAATGCCCGTTGCTTGTGCCGCATATTGGACATGCCGCCCGAACGTCGTGCTTTTGTTGCGCGCGCGCGCTGTGTTGCTTGTGTCTTGTGAGCTTGTGTGTGTCTGTGAGTCGCTCGAGCGTGTCGTCGTCAGCTGTCTCGCGTCCACCCAACCGCGTTGGTGTCCAGTCGTTACACACACACAGACACACACACACACACACACACACACACACACACACACACACACACACACACACACACACACACACACACACACACACACACACACACACACACACACACACACACACACACACGCGCAACAAAGGCGCTCTCAAAGAAGAAGAAAAACGGCGGGGAGGAGAGGGGTGGTGCTCGCC